CATGCTAAATGGAATTTTGATTTTCCGCCGTAATCAAAGTTTGGTGATTGATTATACTCTTTGAATTGATTCAAAAGAAGTAAGACTCCAAAACCCATAAGCATGACTTTTATTTGAAAATCATATAAACACATATGTTTAGAATTAATGAGTGAAAAATGAATCTAAAGGTAGAAATTACCATCCAAATTCAAACATCTTACGCATCAAAATCTGCAAATAAATATATATATAGATATATATAACTAAATAATATCTTAACCATATAACTGAATAATACACAAATCGGTAACTTAAAAATCATCCTAAGGAAGTAGTTAAGACATATGTCCTTGATTAAGAGATCGGAGGTTTGAATCGGAAATTTTGATGAGTCCTTAATGGGTTAAAAGTTATACCAAACTCTAAAAGCTTCCATCCATTGACGGGTTCGGGTTCGGGTTCTCAAACACATTAATAGAACAAAGCTTATCCACAGCAGAAAGGCAAATCAGCTCTAAATCCTAAAAGACAAGATATTCAAAATTTGAGTTGCTATCATGAGTGCCATCCTTTCCTACAAAGCATGTAAAAGCAGATACTTCCTATCCCTACATACTATTCAATCTTCATCAAAGGCCAGAATTCTTTGTTTGTTCAAGTGTCTATTCTCCCTAGCTTTCATCTCTATGCAACCAGTCAGTGACAAATTAAGACAGATACGTCGAGCTCAAACTTGTCCCTCGACGGGGGCGTTGATCTCGACGTACATTTAAAAGGAAAAAAAGCTTCTAATGAACCAATTTGGACAGTCTAAGTTCCTAAGATATGGCCTTTGTGCAAGGTTTTTTTTCTAACCAAAGTCTAGAGGCAAGTATTCAGTTCCTTTCAACTGGCCATTAGTCATTCAAAACTAAGAGCGCAATTTGCACATTTCATCACTCACTGGATTCTTTCAGATACATAAAGAAGCAAGTACATTTTCATGAAAGTATAAAGAAATTAGACAGAGAAAGTTGGAAGCAATGAGGAGAAATGGGGTCACCTCTAAACCTGCAAGAATTGAAGGAGCTGAAGATTATCAAACGTTCTTCAACTTCTTCATCTTTGATGGAGGCCATCGTCCTTTCTTCCTCAAATGGCGTTTCCGAACAAGCCGCTTCCTCCGCAGCCTAATCTTTTTTGCCAACTTCATCCTTGCCTTCTGCTCCAGCCTCTCTTGCAGTTTTGATTCTAATGGAAGTTTGTCAACTGAAACATCCTCCTTTTTAGCTTCTGCAGGGGGCTTCGGTTCGTTACTGTCGGTTTCTCCCGTAGCATCGATCTCAGATGCAGCCTTGACAATAAATGACACCGTATTTTCAACGAAGGAGGGGTTTCGAAGTCGAACCCCATTGAAGTGTTTTGGCTGAAACCCAGTAGGCTTCATGAGTAACATAGAATCTGAAATGGAAACCACAATAAAGGAGTGGAAATTGAGCTAAGATACATAAAATGTAGGGAATTAACCATTCCAAGCCAAGAATATGTATGACTTTGATCTCTAAGCTCTAAGAATTGTGTCTAATAGAACCTTTAGTTTCAAAAAGTATCTAACAAATTCTATTCTTTTAATTTTGTGTCAAATAAGCCTTGATATTTGAGACGTTTTTAATGTTCAAGACCAATTAAACACAGATAATAGTTTAGGACTAGTTAATATGTTGAAATCTACTAGAGATTTTTTTTTAAAGTTAAGTTTAAAGTTTCACCAACAAGCTCATAATATAATCAAAGTTAAAGTTTATAATCAAAGTTAAAGTTAAAGTTTTCAACATATAATCAGAGGTCATAACATAATCAAAGTTTCACCAACAAGCTCATAATATAACCAGAGGTTAAATATCTTCTAACCTATCCGCTCAAGCATTTGATTAAGTTCATTTTTTAAATTGTTGTCTATCAAACCATGGGATACGAGGAATGCTTATAATGTTAATTTCTCCTATCCGGCATTACATGAATCAAATTAACATTCAAACGGATTAAGAATATGCATAAAAGATTACATTCACTCCAAACAATCTCTCTTCGGTTTAGTGACACACATTCAACCGCATTTCATGACTACGAAACTGTAATCTAGACATCAAATTGAGGATGATGAACAAGTAACAGAACATTCAGCATACAAAATCAGGAAAGCGAAAATCGACAGTCTCTACACACAGATACCAACTGTTTTGAAAATGACTGCGAGGAAACTCTTTCAATCAAGCACAAAAAAATAGTTTCTCAAGTTCGCGAAAATGAACACGCAGCGAAAAAACTTTAGAACAAAGAGAAATGAATATACAGAATTAGACAAAAACATGGGGATTAGGTTCGATCCCGTCAAACAGAGGCGCGGAAAGGAAGGTCCAGGAGGGGAAGCGGAAGATACTTACTCAGGGCGGCGAAATTCGCTGGAAAACATGACGGCGACGGCGATGGCGATGGCGACGGCGAAAATGTAGATGAATGGAGAGAGATGGAGAGGGGATTGGAGCAGAGAAGAAAAGCCATCGTGTTTTTCTCTGGTTTGAGAGCCCCTCGCTGCCTTTGGATAAGCTATATATAATTTTTTTTTTAAATTAATTTTTATTCGAAAAATTACTTTTACCCTTAAATTTAAATGAATGAGGTCAACTATTTAGGGTAAAATTTGAAGCATTGAAGATTCCATCTACAAACCAACGTTAACCCGGAGATGGTAAAGTGGCTCTTGCTGACATCATCCACAATAAAACGAGGTCATCTTTCTTTCCGATCGACATATGGTTCTGCTTTCAAGCCTTAAAGAAGGTAAGGAAAGGGGAGGAGCTGACACCGAGCAAGAGATCTCGACAGATAAACAACATTTCTATCTCATCCTTTATTTTATGATCTCTGAACCTTCCCACTATCCGTTCTCGTTTAAAAACATATTATTATTTAAATGAATAATTACTTTGTTTTACTTCCAAATTATTAAGTTATAAATATTTATTTATTAGATTTTATGAGTATTTATATAAAGAAAATATATCAAAATTATTGATTAATGGAACCCTCCAAATTACGTGAAGGAATCAGTATTTTAAATAGTTAAATCAATTTGTCGGTCAATTCTCGAATTTAATTATTTTTTTTCATTCTTTTTGTTACTTAGACGTCCATTTGTATCAGTTTAGAAATACTATTAATGGATTACATAAAAGCTTTCGAGTTGAAAACTTATTTAAAAATACTAAATCTTTTAAAGATGTGAATAGAGATGTCTATTTAACTTGTGGGGCTCATCCTAACAAAGATGTAAAATCACCCTTTAAATGAGAAACAAAATCACCATTTAAATGAGAAATAAAGGTAGCTTATTATATATATATCTATATAGTTGTGAACGTACATCATTTAAATTTAAAAACAATACAAGGAATACCATTTTGAGTAATTCTCAAATTTATTCTCAACCAATAAACTAATACTCAATGTGCTTGAGAGTATGTCCTCTCTGTTGGCTTATTGGCCCTTGATCTCACATTAATTAATTTCAATGAATTAATTATTGATGTTTCGATGATAACAAACCTACTTTAAATTATTAACTATTTTCAGTTTTTTGAACTGTCCACAGTATAAGGTCGGGAATAACGATTACAACAACTTTTCAATTACTCAAATCAGAGCTAAAACGAAGAAATTAGAGTCGAGACAACATACCCGACGTGATGATGTGGCAACAAAATCAAAATGATGGACAAATCAAAATATATCAAAGTATGACATTTATAATATTGGAAGAGTAACAAATGGTGGAGTTTTTCTTATTATTACATTTCTAAATAAAATTATTTTTACAAAATATAAATTTGAATATAACCGTTACTCACATCGAATTTTATTATTACTATATTATATTATTATATTATTATATTTTAAAATTTTGGTAGTTACTCACATCATTTTTATTATTATTATATTATTATATTTATAATAAATTTTGAATTTCATTTGACCGTTACTCACATAACTTTTTATTATTATTATATTATATTACTATTATATTAAAATTTTGAAATAAATGAATTTAGAAAATTTTCTTATTTAATTACTTTTAATCTCCACCTTCCATTATTCCTAACACAATCCAATGGTCAATATTCAATCCTACATTTTGCCACTTTTCTCCTCTATATAAACTCATCTTCCCCACATTTTTATAACACACAACTTACATACATTCTTCAATCCTCATTTGTTCATCTTCCCCACATTTTTATAACACACAACTTACATACATTCTTCAATCCTCATTTGTTCAAAGTCTCCATTGTTTGTTGCTCTCTCCAAGCGTACAAGTTTATTTCTTTTCATCTTATTCTTGAGAGGGATTATTATTATATTGTGAGGAAATAGTTGTGAGTATCCCAAATTGTAAATCTACTCTTTAAGAGAGTTGTGGTGTGATATTATCAAACTCAAATACTTGTTTCGGTTTGATCCTACGCCGTGGAAAGGATTGAGTTTGCTCTTGAACTCGTAAAAAGAGCGGTGTACCGGTTTGGCTCTGATCCGTGGAAAGAGTCGGAAAAGTTCTTTATTCAAATTCCCAAGAGGCGCTTGGGGAGTGGAGTAGGTCGAGTTTGACCGAACCACTATAAAACTACGATGTCATTTTCTCTAACTCTTTACTATTTAATTTCAAGATTATTATTATGATTTATTGCATGTTCTACTTGATTATTGTTTTGACTTGAATTATTTTGTTTTAGTAATTATCATCTTCTACTCATTTGTAAAAAGTTTTATTATTAGAAAAAAATTAATCAAGTTTAAACACTTTTATCGTTAAAACCCTATTCACCCCCCCTCTAGGGTTGCCATACCGATCCAACACTCTCAACAAAAGAATGACACATATAGTGCAAAGTACATCCAAACTACCTCCTTAAACATCATCCACCCCTAACTCAAAACACTAAAACGCTTCGACACCGAGAGCTTCGGTATATCGAATCAAAGACGAGTAATCGAAGTCTAATGAGATAAAATTGGTTGAATACTTTAATACCAATACATCTAACAATATGAGTAATTGAAGCACAAGAAGCCTCCAGTTTCCAACCAATCCTTCTAAGAGCAATCAAGCCTTGCAACTATGAAGAAAAGATCTTTCTCTACTTGAAGAGGTCTGGGTTCAACCAATCCCTGCAAATTTTTTGAAGTTTAAAAGATTACTTTTGCTTCTTTTTTTTCATGATTGATGATGCAATATTCAAAAAGAGGGGGATTGTGTGTTGTACTTGCTAATATCGTCGAGGTGATCGTCGAAGTCCACCACATCTTGCCATTTTTCAGATGAGATGTAATCTAAGAGGACCATATTTGCTAACGGTTCCTTGATTGTTAGCTGGCTGCTTCCGTCTGATCCAGCCAGCTTCCAATTCTTGGGAGTTTCCCTTGTGTATAGCTGGCCGGTGACAAAACAAACGAAATGAATGAGAAGAACATTAGCAATAGATGAGGCCTACAGTTTAATAGCATTCCTAGATTACATGATGTCTGGTTAGGTGGCATAGAGTAGCAGCACAAAACAGCCAAGAAAATCAGATATTGTTCATTGGAAAGTACAGTCATGCATATATAATCCAATCATATCTTGATTAAACTAAATGATCCAGAAGAACAAATAAAACAAAAACAAAACAAAACAAAAAAGAACAAATCAGAAAACCCCAGGTCTTCTCTCTATCTCTTTCTTTCTCCCTCCCTCATGAACCAGGAGCCAACAGTCACCCCTACCGTTTTCCCTCTCCAACGACTCGCA